CCCCAAAACCCCAAAACCCCAAAACCCCATTAAGTCTGAATAAAAAATCTAAAACTTATGAAATTAAGGTTTAATGAGGAAAAATATATAGATTTAAGATCAATTATGATTTTGATTGTCTATCAACTTTTTATGTGATTTTTATGGAGTACTATTGTTATTGGTACTTGAGTTTGATCTTTTGATCTCTGAAAATCTTGTTGGAGAAACAATAATATTTTTTATGTTCTTATTGGTTTGCTTAGGATCCTCAATTTCAGTAATTGACAAATCCTCTTTAAATACCTTCTTTGACTTTTCGTTTGAAAAAATTTTACCTTCAATCGTTAATGTTTATCTAGCGTTTTTCTCTTATGCTTCTATAGATTTGATATCTTCCGATGAATCTGTCTTAAATCTGCTCTCTTCTCTTTAAGTAAGATTTTACTCAATATCATTTATAAATGGTAAATTATTGTTGCTCTTCCGACTATTAACTGTAACACCTCTTGCTTTTTTACTTGATTCATCAACCTTTCTAGATTGAGTAGGCGCAAATGTGTGGGACTTATTAGACTAGTAAGCCTAAATTTCTTTTTGCATATCAGCATAAACGTCTAAGTCTTCAACTTTTTTAATTTCTTTATTTTTCAAAGTAGCCTTAGTCATCAATTTTATCTTTTAACTGATTGCAGACTCCAATAACTCTTTATCAAGGAAATGTGGATTATTACTGATAGTACCCATTATTATACGCTTATCAATAGTAGTGAGCTAGTCTTTTATCTTATAATAAGCAAATGCAGAGAATAACTTAATATTTCTCTAGATTTTTCTGACATTTTTGAGATTCAATAACTCTTCATCCTCAGATGATTCATTTACATGTATGACATCTTTCTTCTAGTTGTAGAGTAAAATCTACTAAGGTACAGAAAGGAGGAGTTGCGCTAAGTTATCTACCATCCTCATGCGTCTAATCATACTTGTGCAGTCAAGTTCATCCATCACTTTATTTTTCCCTTTTTCAAGTAAATCCTTTCTTTTAATTTTTAAGATTTTTGACTCTTTTTTACAGCAATTACATATCATCCAACCAAACATATCATTTATCACGCTTCTGAACAAATATTTATACTTGAAAGTCATGTTCTTTCTGATTTTAATATAGTCGAACATTTTGCTTAAAACCATATCTTTCGCATCTTTAGAATTAGTCATTAATACCGTTTTCAAGCTTTCCTTTAGCTTTTGTATCCCACTCAAGGCTCTTTTACTCTTGATTTCACTCTTTGATCGTATAGTGTCATCAGGAGCTTCATCATCATTGCTATCTTCTGAATTTTCATTCATCATTTTCTTATAGTCTTGGATCAAGAACAAGTTTCTAGCCATGGATAGTTAAAACTTGGAGTCTTAAATTCCAGAATAAAGAATAGCAATTATTAAGAATAAAATGGATTGAAAACCACCAAGCTCTTAAAGTACGTCATTAAATGTATAGACCTGTCTGTTGTATCTATCGATAAACTTATCTAATTAGATCTGTAGTGAAAATAATGAACCTCCAGTTAACTCTAATGACTAGATAACTTGACTTAAAGTAGACATTTGGTAAAATACATCTTCAAAAGGTTCTTCATAAAACCCATTTAAAGAGTCAGCTAGTTCAATGTTACTCTAACGGAACAGCATAGTTGCGAATATATTCATGTTATCTACCATTGGGTAAAATGCATCGTCCATAAAGTGTTTTATTGGCTGAACATAGTTTTACACATCAAAAAATGAGCTAACAGGTATTAATTGTATGTAAGAGCTTTCAATCCTCTTCTTCAGTAAAGTTGAATTAGAACAAAGAGATTTACTCGTACACTTGATAAATTCCAAATATAAAAACTGAAACTGTGGGGCATGAAAATTTCCTTGCAGAGTCAAATTTGTCCACTCAGGGCAATAGTAATCGTCAATTGGATACTAGAGGATATCTTCTCTGTTTAAACGACTTAAAGCAAGACTTTGAAGGGTGCATCTGCTATAGGGTATAATCTACTTCGAGAATTATCGTGTGATTTTACCGTTAGGCAACTCAATAAGCTAAAACTTTCCCTACCAAAGTGAGAACTACCCAATCTCCTTTTCATATGTTAAAGGAATACCGTTAAGGTCAGAGAGCATAAACATTAGACTAATTCCTTTCTCTCCTATAAGCTAAGGTTCATTATAGGTGTTAGAAATCGAAACGATGGAATCCTTTCTTATTTTAGTTTCAGATCTCTCATACATCGCTATTACCTTGTAAACAAATATAACTCCTAGAAATGTTCCAATGATTGTTGACATAAATCCTCCGAAGGCTGTTCTGTATGTGTCATTGCCCTTATATGTAAAGTTTATAGGTTTTGCGAAATAATCTATTGACTTTAAGATGTCATAGAATCCTTTTCTAATTCGAGTCATTTCTATAATTAATTGAATATCATTTTAATACACCCTAAATTACTTTACAACTACTCAAGAAGGTTTTTATTTTTTATTTTGTCTCAATTTAAGTACTGACTATGACTGAATCATGGGGTTTTGGGGTTTTGGGG